GTAGGACTTGTAAGAGGTGGAAATTATAAGGGAAGCAATTTTTGGTGGTAGACAAAGATAGTGCGGTAACACAAAACTAGATGATCAAACGGTTCAGGTTGGCTTCCTTTTCAAATTTGGTTATTGTTTGCTTACTTCCTATGGTGGTTTTAATCCATTTTTAGTTATTATTCGCTATAAGCTCGTGATATCGTTGAATACAAGATGATGAAGAACTGATAACTCACAAAATGGCTGCTCAGGACGCTACAGGCTCTCGGAAACCTGGCAAAATTTCAAGCCTATACTTAGACTAATTGCAAGCTTTGACGACCGATACCGCCATTGTTTCCTTTCAAGTTGCAATCATATCCAGTTCGAAAAACCTCTTCACCTCCATTTCAAGAGAAATGTCTTACAGCAAAACGGTACCTTACGCTCTCCAACGGCAGGTGGCCCTCTAGGTATCATTTACGCATCGTACGGAGATGGAAACCCGGGCGATTACTTAGTGGGACCGCCATATAAGCATAAATTGGAGATTGAGTCCTGGATCGATACTTGCCCAGGTAACCAGAGCCTTCTATCCCTCCGAGGTCGGTCAATTGGTTCCAGACTCGCCCGAGAGGACAAAAGCACCAACTTGTACATCGGTTGACCACCACAATTCATTGTATACGTCACACATGCAGTTGAACCTGCACTACGACTCTGAATGGAAGCGGAGTGCAGGGGACATCCCAAAGAAGGGTTGATTGTCCCGAACGGCTTCAACATTTATTTAGTATATTAGAAAAAATGGCGCAGATACCAAATGTGTAGTCTAGGAATGGATGGTCGATGCCCACAAGCATCGTCCTGAGTTCATTGCTATCTGACAGTATTTCAGTTCAGGTTTTTACATTGGCTGACCTCATGAGCCACTGTGCAGGAGAATTATGCCTGCAATCGTTATTACAATTCATGAAATTTGAGTATGAGAGCGTTTCTCAGAATAGAATTCATTACCTCAAAAAAGGATACAATCTATGGCTTCTGCTATGATTTTCTCGAAGACCTTTCCCAGAGCAGTGTGTCTGGGCAAAAATCCCGTAGTGGTTTCCGACAAGTCAAACACTTCATCTGACCTTACCAGATCCGACTGGATGTTTACGAGTAATCCTGTTGAGTTAATCATGCATGACCTCATTGCCGACCGACAAAGGCGGCTTGGTCCTTGTATCGTCGCGTGCGATAAAGAACAATCAACCAGAATCAGTAGGTTTTACGACGACGTTCACTGACATGCGGTGACAGAAGTCGCACTTCGTCGGTCAGATAGCGCGTGTTCTGTTTCTGACCTTATCAACGACAATTAAGGGGCATCTTGTGCCGCATAGCCGCACATCTTCGGCCAACATTCGAAGTACCGAACACTAGAAGTGCTGTTTGATTAGACTAATTTTTAGCAGTTCATTAATGTAGAACGTTTTGAAGGCCTACCCAACCTGGATGTATGACGACAAACCAGAGGAAGATCATGATACCGCCTCCAGTTAATGGTTTTGAGATCCGCTACTGCGCTGTTCACAACCGTTCATCATAACCACAAGAGCGTTCGGACTGACTCATGACTAGATACAGGAAGAAGTTGGCTTGAGCAAAATTTCCTTCTCTTCCCGTAGAATTGTGGTCCCGGAAAAAAAATTAACCCCCGAAATAAGCCACGATTGATTAGCATGAACCGAATCAATTCTCATGAGTAGAACGTCAGGACCTCCGTGAGTTGCAGCAGCCGTAAAGGTGGATCAACCGGAAAATTGATTCGTAGGGTTAGGAAACCTACGTGAACGGATGGGAATGAATGGTCCAGCTTGCTAGTGGGCTCAACGCTTTACTTTACTTAACCCAGTGCCGTCGCAGAAACACTGAAGAGGCTTAGGATCATAGAGGGATAGCTTTGTAATGTTGACCCCCTCCCCTCCCCTCTCATTTGGCTCATTTTAAGAGCCTTTTTCAATAAGTATGTGGTTTTTCAAAAAGTATGTGGCCTGTCCAATCACTTTTGAGGGGAGCATTTCTTCAGTGCTTCTGACTTCCCACACAGGTTTGAGATGAAATTCCCAATCCCAGAGGGTGTTAGGCTCAGTTAGCCTGAGCATGATCAGACAAGGAATCGATCCCCTGATAGTGAAGCATAGTCGCCACTCGTCCTCTCACCTTCTCTCCTTAAGTTAGGCTATGAAAAAAAAACGAAAATTGCCTTCTTGAAAATCTATTTTCTCAATTGACACTGCAATAATAATTGAGCAGCCGCTACCAGAGCTGATGGGTAAAGCGGGCTACACCACTGTCTACTTGTTACTCGTTCGACAGCCCTCGAATTGTTCGAATCGGTCGAGATGAGTGCCTAACAGAGAGCGCCAAAGATTCCTTAAGTGCGCCCCGGCAACAATAGTCGTAAGTGACTAATGAGTGCTACGCATCTATTGTTTGCCCTTATGCTTTTGTCTGGATCGATGTCAAGCATCATAAAGCTNAGACGTTTATCTCTGTAGTTTCACTTCAGGATATGTCATAACAGCCAGATTGATCGACTCAATTCATTGCTGAAAAGGGAGAATTCAGCTTTTAGAAGAAGACCACGCTACCCACGTATAAATCAGTTGTTCAAGTTACATTTCAGGTCGGTCAGCAATAAGCTACGAAAAGTAAACTGTAAGCTCAGCAAGCTCAGTAAGGGTCTCACCCACCTTCAGAGGTTTCCAGTGTTGGAGCAAATTTTGAAGCCAGGCTGTCATCAAACACTGGTGATACTACGACGTTGTACCACTACCTATAAGTATTGGTTAACCCATCAATAAACTTATGGTCCCAAATAATAGTTGGATAATACGGAAAGCTGATTGAGCCAGAATTGTGTGCACTGCACTGGCCATTGTAATTACAAAGGTTAAACACTGATTCGATCCATCAACGAATACTGGAGTACGGTAAAAGCCCAAACTGAAGGGCTTAAGACGTTTCCGTCTCAAAAAAATGCTCCACTTCTCATTCCGGCCTTCTCAGCTGGCCCTCCGAGTATGATGTGAAACAGTCTGTGGTCCTGAAATCCGTCTATTTACGCCTTTTCACGTCTGTCGTCAATCTTCTTGGTTCTCACTGTCGGGTCTTGTCAGCATGCCTGGGGTGGTAAATCTTAAAACCACGGCCCGCTTCTGCGCTTGTGCTACGGATTAGAGAGATCACATGTGAGACGGGCAAGGGTCGAGAGCTCTGTAATTCTACACCAAGTGCTCGACGAATAGAAAGGGATGAAGTGCTGTCTAGAGAAATTCTAATACTTTACGGTTCATCGAAAAAAGGTTATATTGGCCGGCACTTTGAGACACAGACAAAAAGCTGATTGTGAGTAAAAAAATAACTTAAAAAGTAGGCCCTTCTCCTGGACTAATAACAGGTCATTTGCCGACTATTTTGCTCGAGTATTCCATAAAGGGCTCCAGTCAGCTGGCTATCTATCTGGTAGGCCATCGGGCAATCCTCCCATAGATTTCATCTAGAGTCTCTCTTTATGTTGACTGGACACTTTGAAAACCATGGCCCTATTTCTAGTGGATCGTCAACAAAGCAGAGCTTTAGGCAAGATTCTTCAGAGTTCCAAAACAACAGCCATTCGAAAGGAAGGTTCCCTGGGTGATTTCCAGGCCCTTGTTAGCCGTTAAGCAGCACCTATGCTCAAGAAAATTAGAAAGAAAATGTCATAATTCCGGAATATCTCTACCTTCGTACTGCTTGTTTGAAGGCAACCAAAGGGTACGGTTTTTTAAGCCCCGGTACACATCGAAACCCTTTTTTACTATTTTAGGGGCACAGTTCACGATAATTTTGAGGTGCCCCTTGCCATTCAATAAGCGGAAATATAGGTCGGGAATAGTTCTCTGGTAGTGAAGAAAGCAAGAAAATTCGTCAATTTCGAGAAAAACAAGGCTCCTCAAAAGTAGGGAAAATGAAGGTTGGACGGGATTGCCATGGCGGGAATAGCATGGAAGGGCTACCTGGACGAGATTTCAGTTGTTGCAGTTGCACAAAGAGCCGACTACATCAATCCAAAATGTACAGAACTGCCTTTCACTGTCGCTGTGGGAATGACAAGTTGTTTGAACTCCCTACATGGGTTATCTTGTGAACGATGCATCCTCTACAATGCCGGTGAAACTCGTCCACGCATACACATGGGCCAATCTTTAGCCTTCATAGCTCCCTAACGAGACCATTTTCCAAGCTGATAGCGCCAGCTATGGTATACGAGGGGGCCTTGAACACACCCTATGGTGAAATCTCAGAAGCCATTTTTATCGTGTACTGTGCCTTTAATCAGGTGTTCCGGGCGTGGCGCAACATAACGGAAGCAAGACTACCTTTTTCCAAAGCCATAGCCATGTGTTTCTCAACTTCATTCGGATTCGTGAATGAACAATCCCTTCAATATCAAGTTTGGATCGACCACAATATTTTTTCTTGTACGCCGTGACCAGATAAAAATTGAAAAAAGTTTTCATTCATAAAGCAGTTGTTTAAATCGTATAAATTGTCGTGTAATACAAGTTGTAAGATCACAAGTTGTAAGGCGTTTAGACAGATACTAATTCAATAACTTTTTTAAAAGTTGTATCACAGTAGTACGATGAGAACCGAACGACGAATTTCGATTATCATAGCATAACACGTTCGAAATGTGAGTGTTAGGGACCAAAAGACATTTCTATGTATTAGAAAGCTAGACATGGTAAACGGCTTCTCTATTACAAATTAAACCAACAAGTTTGTTAAATGAATCAACATAATCACAAGCAAATGGAATGAACTAGGAGAAAGCGATTGAGAGAATTTGGAGATGTAAAATTAAAAAATATAGATGCTTGGTACAAATTTGGGATGAATTATTATATATAGTAGCATTCATGAGCACAGGAAGGAGCAATCCAGTATGCGTTGTGAGTCTCCCGTTTAAGAAGGTATAGCTGATAGTGTGGAAAGCACTAGTGCGTAGAACCGACCTGAGTCAACTCGTTCACCCTGAAACACGATTTACCTTGGGATATCAAATATTTGTCGCATTACTTTCGATAATTTGGGGGATAAAAAATAAATGAAAAAATAAAAAATAAATAAATTCGATTTCCATTAAAAATCGTAGTGGGGTATTCAATGTGTATGTAACCCATACAATGACTCGCCGTGGCCAGCCGATGTACAAGACAGTGCATTTATCCTCCCGACCAAGTATTGCACCAATTAATCTACCCCGGGGGATGCAAAAGTCGGATGGCCGAGGCGGATAACTCGGGATTCGAAGCTCTGACCATGCTTGTGTAATAATCAAGCGCCATTGTCACTACACCACGTCCGCCTTTACGGTAAATTATGAAGTTTGAAGTAGTAGGCGGAGCGGTAAATGGCGCACCATCACACACTCACGGTCTGGAATCAAATATCAGAACGATACTCGCCAGACCGAGCGAGCCTTCCATCCTTTCAAGGCCGCTGAGTTGGTTCAGAACTTGCCTAGGAGGATAAAAACACTGAGTTGTACATCTTCTGGCCACTGACATTCGGTGCACAGGAAAGGACGCATTCAAAACGTTACGTCGATTTCCAATAAGAATGAAGAAGGTAAAGGAAAGCAGGGTTAATCATTTTGCTAACGCCGTAAATATGCTATATCATGCGTGGGACAATTTACAGCCACAACTTGAATGAATTCCCTCCAACTGTGACATTTCATAAGACCAGTTGACCAAAATTTACAACAGCAATGCTGAGGAAAGTTACAGCATTGGACACTTCCAGGTATTTATCTAAATGCTCGAACCAATCGAGACTTTTTAGCTCTTAGGAGCCCATTTGTGTTAATAAAATTTTCTGACCCTTCAGCGTCAAAAAGACAATTTCGTTTCAAATCAGTTAACACTACAGGTGTTATGTACCACGACTTCCATCTCTGGTTGGAACCACCAGAAAAAAGAATTCGGCACAGGTCCATGAGTAAGTTTGATATCTTCGAAGACTAAACTGTGACGATATTAAGTGATGAAAAAAAACTCACGAATGGCCAAATTTGACATGGATTCCAATGAAAATAATGCCAAGAACGATAGAAAGCGATCCCACTACTATATAAGCTATTCCTGAAATCAACGATTATGTTTATTAATATGGGAATGAGGTTAGATTCGGAATGGTGAAAAATACATACCGAGAAAAGGGTTTTTAGCGCCAGCCCAACTTGTTGTACTCACTACGAAAGATTTACGTCCACCGAAGACCACCACTGGATAATCTAAAGATAAAAGCCATTTCAACAAGTTTGGCTTCATTCTAGTTGACTCAGATATGATCAATGGAGCTGAGAGAAGCTAAGAAGAGCAAGCAATGCGAAAACTCTTGCGATACGGTAGTCGTTTCAATAATGAAACAACAGCTGCCCAAGCAGGACGAAGAGAAAAACCAAGAAAGAATGTCAAGAATATGGAATGAGAAGCCCAAGAAAATCGATTTCAACTTACTGGAGTGCACAGTAACTTCGTATTGGCCCGCAGGTAAGCCATCACGGAAACGCTGACCAGCAAGAAGGTTTTCGCTAGTGCGATCCAGCAGCCTCCAAAGTTTCCGGAAATTCGGAAGCGCAGCTGTACGCATCCAAACAATCAAGTCGACGTTTTCAAAACCGTCGTCCAGGCATGGTTCGATCCTCCAGTTTGGCGGTTTAGCGGTTCCCTGGAAATATACAAAAATGATTGAAGAGTACTCCACTGTCCGGACAAGTTACGCAGCACAGCCAATAGCGAAACTCGGACGGATTTCTTATAGAACCAGCCGATATTTCCTATAATATCAATGGAAGTAACCGAAACAGACTCACTTTGAAAGCATCACACAGCGTTCCGCCCGGTGGTATGGGAGGATTCTTAAACTTCTTATCCTTATCGACATCCCAGAGAACCTGAAGCGATTGTTAGGTAGAAAGTCCAAGAGATTACCAAAAATGAAAACATACTCCTTCTTTAGTTACAGGTACAGGTATCCTC